CCTTCCTTCGTTCACGAACGCCCTCAGTCACCCGCAGTATCCACCATTGCCGAGGAGTCGAGGCCAGGAACCCAAAACGCACGCCGATCCCAGTTGATCCACGACATGGAGACCGAATCGCAGGCGACTACTCCAGGCCATGACACCACACCATATATTCGCTTCGCCATCGACCAGCTCACCCGAGATGAAGATGTCCGAGGCTCAAGAATATATCCAGAGGTCCGACCCCCAGTCGCAGTCCAGGATGATGATGACGACGATTACCCCGTCGAGAGAATCATTCCCGACAATGGGCTGGGATATATGGCACTGGAGCAACAGACACAGGAGAGAATGCAACAGCACAAGCCCGCACGCAAGTCGTTGAGACATTCATATACACCACTGGCCACTGCCCCGGCACCCATGGCTACGCAACCAGATGGACCCCACCACAAATCCCACAAGTACAGAGAACAGCAGTCGCCTTCTCCTACTCGGGGACAAAAGGATGTCTTTGTAGCACACTCGCAGCCACACTCATCCCTTCACTTTTTACCCGCCGTCCTTCGCCCGCTGTCGCTTGGCCTGTTCATTTTCCTATGCTTGCTCATGCTCGGTGCGCTCATCTTCGCCGCTGTCTACTCCAATCGCGATGAAGCCTACGGACTGTGGGACTACGGTGGTTTTGGCGATACTCGCTACTTCGTTTTCCGATATCTCCCAACCTTGCTAGGCATGCTCTTGTTCCTCTGGCTCATCCAGATCCAGGCAGCCCTTCAACGCATTGTTCCGTTCATATCCATGTCTTCAGACTCTTTCCACCGGAGATCCGAAGCCGTGTTTCTTCAACTATACCCGATGCAGTTCGTTTTGCCAAATATTCAGCATTTCCGCGCCGGACATCCCGGTATCTGTGCCTTTTTTGTCATTTCATGGCTTTTTGCATGGACAGTCCCTCTTCTTGCTTCCAGTTTCAACGTACGGTATAATGTGGTACGCTCCGCTTGGAGATGGGTCGCTGTACAAGGCGTCATCTGGACAGTCGTTGTTCTCTACATCCTTCTGGTGCTCGTCCTGATCTATCTCATGGTCTTCCTCATGCGCAGCCCGACTGGATTGAAATGGGACCCGCGATCGCTCGCAGACATCATCGCTCTTCTGGAGCGCTCAAATAACCTTGGAGATTACAACAACTCGGAGACTTTCGATAAGGGTGACTGGAACAATGTTGCTAACCGTGCTGACCGCCTGGGCTACTGGACTACTACGAAGCGACCAAGCGACGTTTTCTACGGTATTGGAGAGGAAGGTGCTGAGATCCGGAGATTCCAGGTCGAGGAGGGACGCATCAGAGAGCAAGGACCAGACCGCGCAAATCTTGACGTAGCTCAGGGCAACGACTTTTCAATCCGCATGGACATTCGCAGCCCGAATGTGCGACTTCGCTATTTGCCCTGGTGGCTGAAGGACGGTTCAGTTATTGCCTGGATCGTCATCGCCTGTATCCTTTTGATCGCCTTCTACGTCGTCAGCTTTGTGAACGACGCTGTTCGCCTCGGTTTCCTACCTCGAGTCTTTGCTCGTACAGGCACTGACGGTTTCTCCGCCTCGAACTTCCTGTACTCGTTCGTCCCAGCAGTCATCGGCCAGTTCCTATTCCTAGCACTCTTGTCGCTCGACTACTCTATCCGCGTACTCCAGCCATACATGGCGCTCGCATCCAAAGGCGGAGCCACTGCTGAAACTTCTCTGTTGGTCGATTACGCTTGCCGCCTGCCATTCTCAGTAACACTGGCTGCGCTCGAGAACAAGCATTTCCAAACGGCAGTTCTATCCTTCGTCTCATTCGCATCCATGTCCCTGCCTATCCTCGCAGGAGGCTGCTTCTGGACCCAGTACTACGGCGACGTACGAAACGTCCGTGTCGCCGCCGAACTCCCCGGTTACTACGCCCTCTGCTTCTTCCTCGCCCTCTACACCATCAGTCTCTTCGCCCTCATCCCGGGTCGCCGCCGAGCCGCACTCCCCCACCGCAGCAACACCCTCTGCGAAATCATCAGCTGGGTCTACCAATCCCCCATCCTCACCGACCGCGCCTTCGCCCACCCCCAAACTAAACCCGACCTCGTCGCTCGCCTCATGGGAACCACCTACGCCGAGCGCACCTGGGCCCGCTCCGTCGCTTCTCTCGTCCGCCCCTCCCGCAGCAACCTCCGACCCGACTCACCCACGGACCCCGCGCTGAAAGAGAAGGCGAGAAAAGACGGTCAGCACGACTCTCTCGTCGACCCCGGCAAGATCAGATACGGCTTCGGTATCCACGTCGGCCGCGACGGCCTCGAACACCTCGGTATTGATCGCGTGCGCCGCGGTGGTGACCGAAGTGGCCGCGAACTCGTTATCTGGGAGGAGCAGCAGCATGATCATAAGAGGAAGAGTTGGAACAGTCAGGTGTGATAGCACCGCTGTCTTTTGCCCCTACTTTTTTACGAAACCAGCTTCATCTCCACGGCGCACAAAAGCGGCTGTTATGATGATGGAACTGCTCATTTACAGAAAACTTTTTTGACGGATTTTAGCATCGGTGTTTTGGGTGTTTTCTTTATGCATGCATCGTAGCCTTGGAATCTTCTCCCTTTTTTTTCCCTCACGGATTCAATGGCTCGGGATCGGCGTTTTTTTTTTTAAAAAAACTCAGTCAACGCTGTTTGGAACTGCCAATTGCGAATGTAACTGTACGAATCTTCTTTTTTCTTTTTAATGAATGCAACGCGTAGGGAATGGAAAATACGAGACGTTGTTATAGATGGAAAGGAAGGGAAGGGATGGGAGGAGTCAAAGTTTGAAATGTGTGGTGTACATGGGATGAGGCGTCATTGCCTGATATATGATAGAACATGCATGTGAATGAGGGTATGAGATGGAAATGAAAGATCATTGCTGATTTAACTTGTTTCACCTTGAACATATTATGACTTTGTGTACTTATTCAAGTATTCTTGATATGCAGAGAAAATAGGTGATACTGCATTGCATGTTTTATTTCTTCATTATCAAGTCTACGCTACAGCAACAGGAGCAGCACTAGCATCGACCCCCGTAAGCCTACTAATCTCCAACTCGCCATCACCCCCCAAATTATCCAATCCATGGAACCCCTCCTCGACTACCCATCGCTGCTCATACTTCATAAGCACTTTGCAAGCGTTACCCACAACAAGGAGTCCAGGGGGTCTACTTCCCTCCTCCTCGACAGCCGCACAAACATGCTCGAGCGTCGTACGTATGACCCTTTGATCCGGACACGAAGCGCGTTCGAGCACAGCGACGGGGAGGTCTGCAGGATACGCTTTTGCGACTAAGCTGTCAACGAGAGCAGAGAGGCGGTGCAGAGACATGAGCAGGACGAGTGTGCGGGAAGCGACGAATTCCGGGGGATCGAGCGGAGCGCCTTTCCTGCCCGTACCGGTGCAGATGAGGACTTGATCTGCGATACCGCGGTGCGTGGCGGGTATGGCGGCGAAAAGGGGTGCGCTGAGTGCACTTGTGATGCCTGGGAGTACGCTGGGAATGAAGCCGTGTGCGCGGAAGAAGTCGTATTCTTCTCCTCCGCGACCGTAGATGTATGGATCACCTTGCTTTATTCGTACGACCACTTTGCCAGCTTTCAGTCCTTCCAATCCCATTTCTAGGAGTTCTTCTTGCGCTTTGTCTGCATTGCCGGGGAACTTTCGTGCAATGTGCACGGTTGCGCGGCGGGGTACGAGATCGAGGATGGGTGCGGGGACGAGTTTGTCGGCAAGGATGAGGTCAGCAGAGAGGATGGCTTTGTGGGCGGCGCGAGTCAGGAGATCTGGGTTTCCGGGACCGGAGCCTGCGAGAATGATGCGGCCTACTCGCTGTGGTGCAGTGGCTGTGGGTCCGACTTTGGAGGGGCTGCTGCTGGCGAATTCGCGGAAGAGCATATTTACATCTGCATCGGTGATGCTTGCAAGGCGACGCAGCGGCCAGTACTCGCATATCTGCGTGAGCCAGCGCATACGGCGACCCCGCGCTGCTTCCTTGCTCTCTTCCAGAATCAACTTGTTAAACGTCGCCGGTTGTCCACTGTCCTCCTCTTCTGCCTCCAAATCCTGTGAGAGTTCGGCTGCATGGTCTTCTTCCCATATGCGTCTTCGCAGTGTACCCAGTTTCTCGACCGCATCGCCTAAACGTGGTGGAAGAGATGCAGCGATCTCTCTTCGGATTCTTGCAGAAAGTTTGCAACCTTTTCCAGAAGTAGTGATACCAATCTGAAGAGGGCCGTCGGTATGTGTGGAGAGGAGTGTGAAGGAGCAGAGATTCGGGGCATCGGTGACGTTGACTGGTATGCGCAGCCTCCGGCAGAGGTTCGAGATCTGGGTGGCTGTGGCGAGTTAGAAGATGACTATGCAGAGTATATTGTCACCACCTACCCGAACCATTCTTTCCGCCAGAAGTAACAAATACAGCGTCTACTACACCATCCACCTCAGGACGTCCGAGTGTTGTCAAATCCTCATTTTGGAAACTCCGCTTCAACCATTGTACTTCGCCAGCCTCGATACGTTTCGCAAGGCCGTAGTGGAGGGTGGCATCTTCGGGCGCAAGTAGTATTGGCTTCGCACCAACTTCTATTGAGCGTGTGCATCGTGCGCCGGCAAGTGGGTTGGATCCGACTATAAGATGGATGTGCGATGTCGCATCGACTGCAGTGAGAAGTGCAGGCGCCATTATGGAGATTGGAGTGATGCAAAAAATACAATATCCAAATCCAAGAAGGAGGGGTAATTGTTTTATGAGTAAAGATAATACTGAACGCGACTACTCCTCGGCGGCCGAATTGATAATGGGCATAGCGAATTGTTGTTCCGATAGCGACGAGCCGATATGGCGCGATCGCACTAGTGACATCCCCGCGGAAAAAGAAGGATTCTGAGTGGCATACTGACCCAATCGCCGATGGTGCAATTGGCTGCTATCATATTTGCGCGGAGTTAGTCCATTTGCTCGTCTCGACCCATTACAATGTTGAGAGCCTTCCGGCTGAGCATGACTGTGTGCCCAAGTGCGTTGAGCTTTGCTGAGGCGGATATCAAGGCTGGATCTTGGCTTTCAACACGGATCTTCTCCTTGACACGGACTTCGCGGTTCTTGTATGTGAAGGTACGGTCGGCTTCGTCGTGTGTAGGGGCTCGGGTGCCGCCGAGGGCTGATGCAAAGGTGTTGCGGATGCTGAACCCAGTGAGTGAGCCGCTATCCCCCGCATGATGGGGCTCCAGGGTGCGGATTTCGAGGACGAGGGCAGCGTCAAAGACAAACAGGTGGAAGGATACATTTGCAGGCAGTGGAGGATCAAATGTCTATTACAGTCAGCGAAGCTCTCAGTCTGTGCAGATAGGCAGCGTACGTTTTCGTCAACGGGATTGTCCCACCACGAGGGCTGGACAAGCGAATGGCCTTTGAGAGCAGCTTGTGCCTCAATTATGTGGTCGTGTAGTAGTTGGAGTTGGCCCGAGACGAATTGGGCGTTGGTCGCGTCTCCTCCCCAGGTAGCGACATCGATGGCGTCTAGACAACTGTTGATGGAGGTTCGTACAGCAGTAAGCTGGGGAACAACGAGTGTAGGTGCATGCGGTGCAGAGGAGATGACGAGGTCCCAGGTCAATGAGCCCTTTGGCGGTGGGAGGCTTGCGAGGCGGAGCTTGATGTTCTAAGGACAGTGAGTAGATGCTCCAGTGTACATAAACGACCAAGTCATGACCTACGCCTTTGGTGATGCGCGTGCCGATGCGCGTAATGAGGCCCTTGAGGCTCTCTGAGCGCACAGAGGTCAACACCAGCGTAGACCCATTTTCAGAGGGCGCAAGCAGGGCGGCACACTCGTCGAGGCCGGCTTTGAGCGACTGCAGCGTCTCGCGCAGCTGGACAAGCAGCCACTCGAGCTCGCGCGCTTGCGATGCGGCCTGTTCCTGGGCGAGACGGTCCTCGTCGATGGGCGGCCATATCGCGGTGGACATGACGGCGGTGGGTTTCCAAGGCAGGACACAGCACCCACCCGCACACACTCAAAAGACGGATGCAGCAAAGCAGCAAGGCAGGATTCCGTCTTGGTCAGCCACGCAGGCGCGATGGGCGGGCGCAGAGTCGACGCAGCAGATCTCGCTTCTATCCGCCCAAGGCCCGCATCCCTGCCCTGGATCAGACCCTCCTTGTTGCAGCCGGGCCCAACCTTCAAACACGCCTGCATCCTCTGCTAATTACTACACACTTTACTGTCGCTGCGCATACACTCAAACAGCACCATCTGCCGTCGTACTCGCATCCGAGCCATGGACCCTTTTTCCTTGCTGTGTGCCTCGGGATGATGCAAAGCGCGTTCATAGTGTCGTAACCTAGTGAGGTGACGAAGCTAGCCACGATGCCAGAGAGCCGACTCTCCCACAGCAGCATACGTCATGGCTTGGCCAGACTTCTTAAACCAGCTCTCCCAGACCCTTTCAAGTGCACATGTTCACTGTTCATCTCCAATAATAATATAGGCCCTTGTGCAACCCTGTCAATCATTGCTGGCACTGTCCTCTCTGTTACAGCTCTACAGTTGGATATCCTCCTCTCCCCACCATGGCAGGCCCGGCTAGTATGCTGTCCCGCTCTTTTCCGCCGTCGCCTATGCACTGACATGCAAAATAGGACCCTTGCTCGCCATTGCTTCGCTGGTCCTCGTTGCTGCTGGCCTTCTCTTCCAGTTCTTGACCATCCTGACTGGCGGCGTCAATAAGTCCCCGCTCGACAGGTTCTATTTCCTCGAAGCCTCTACCAACGGCATTCCCAACGCCCGCAACCCCTCTCGATGGACCTTCTTTGCCATCTGCGGTGAGAACCCAAGCAATGGCCGTAACGCAAACTGCGGCTCACCTGTCCCCGCTCTTCCCTTCGATCCACCAAGGAACTTTGGCACTGAGCAAAACATCCCTGATGCCTTCCTCGGCACGAAGCAGTACTTTTATCTGTCTCGCTTCATGTTTGCCTTCTACCTAATTGCTCTTTTCTTTGCTGCCATTGCCCTGCTTTCCGGTCTCCTGGCTCTCTTCAGTCGTCTTGGGGGATATCTGTCATCTCTCATGACCTCCATTGCCCTCTTCTTCCAGGCCCTTGCTGCTGCTCTCATGACGTAAGTTTTACAGACTACTAGCGCTTGACAAATGCTAATAATCATTAGCGCATGGGTTGTCAAAGGTCGCGATGGTTTCCGGTCCGCCGGTTTCGAAGCTCGCATCGGCCGTTACCTCATGGGATTCACATGGGCTGCTGTAGCTTGTTACTTCCTAGCTACCATCATGTTCTGCCTTGGTGGCCGTCTTGGTGGTGACAGCTCTTCGAGGATGCGCCGCAACCGTTCCACAAAGTCAACCCGCAGCCGTGGAAGTTTTTTAGACACTGATTCCCAGCGCAGGGTCAAGAGCGACTACTCTGTATAGACTAGGAACTAACGAGGAAGGAGACAGGACTCGGAGGCGTTGTCCTGAACCAACTGTCTTTTCTGCAACGATATCCACGATTTACTTCAATATACATGTACAAGTATAGTTACTCTTGTAATAGCGAGCAACCACATAATGCGACTACACCCTAGTTTAATGATGACCATTTTCCCATACAAAACTAATAATTGATTTGCGGTTGGGCATTTGAAGTTTCTTCCTACACTAAACTTCCACATCTGCTTTGCTTATGCAGTCTTGCCCGTAAGTTTCTCGTATGCCTCCCGATATTTCGCCGCAGTCTTCTCCACGATGTCAGCCGGAACCTCGACTCCCTCCTTACCCTTCAACCCATTACTCGTCAGCCAGTCCCTCAAAAACTGCTTGTCGAAGCTTGGTTGCGCCTTGCCAAGATTCTGCTCCCAAGTATCCTTTGGCCAAAACCTCGAGCTATCCGGTGTCAGAACCTCGTCAACCAGCACCACCTCACCCTTTTCATCGATACCAAACTCGAACTTCGTATCAGCGAGAACGATCCCCACTTCTTCTGCGCGAGATGCAGCAGCAGTGTAGATAGCCAACGAAAGCTCCTCGACCTTGCTTGCAATCTTCTCGTTTCCAATCATCTCCCTCGCCTTCTCAGGACTGATATTCTCATCCTTGCCGCCAACCTCCGCTTTTGTGCTTGGCGTCCAAAGCGGCTGCGGCAACTTCTGTCCTTCAATCAACCCCTCTGGCATCTTGATGCCATTGACAGTTCCGGACTTGGCGTACTCTGACCACCCAGATCCCGTGATGTACCCACGGACAATAGACTCAATGGGCAGAATCTGCAGACGCCGGACTTGCATGCTGCGGTCCTTGAGGTCTGTCTGGCTTGCAATTGACGAGGGGAGATCATTGGTGATGAAGTGCGTTTTCAGTCCAGGCACCTTGGTTGGTAGGTAGTTGAACCAGTAGATGGACATTGCCGTCAGTAGAGCGCCTTTGCCTGGGATTCCCTAACCATCTTGTCAACATTCTTGACTTGTAAACTCTCTATTTGTTTTGTTTCTTCTGGAAAAACTCACATTTTCCATAATCACGTCATAGGCTGATATGCGGTCGCTAGCGACGAAAAGCAGGGTATCATCATCAATCGCATATAGATCGCGCACTTTTCCTGATGCGACTTTTGGCAGCTTGCCTTGAATGTCGATGTTGGTGACGGCTTTGGAAGACATGTTTGGCTGTCTTTGTCAAGGGGTTGTTGAATTGAGTTGCTTGGATGACTGGTAAAGGAAGTTTTATGCATTAGTATTTTATGCCCTGCATGAGCAATTGGCGGGGCGACTGTGGCGCAGGCGCTGTGGCGTACGATACGCAAGGCACCTGGTTTTGAGATCTGTGCAAGTCTGTTTGTTCTGATTCAAAAAGCTATCAATCTAATAGACACATCTAATGCGCCTGATTACATGAATAAGAGTTAATGTTTAGCTTTGGCTTCGTCTTTGAACTGTCTCGTCCACAGAGAACCTACGTCAGCCAAATTGGGCACGGCGCGTAGATATTGTCACACCAAGCTCTATTCGGCACCCTAGCCCCGTAACCACACCTCACTCAACCATCGCTCCATCCCTTCTACACCCTTGTAGGTACATATTACCATCTCCAGATGGCTTCAGTTCAGTTCACGGCACTGATACGCCTTCCGTTTATTCGGGGTGACTTTGAGGATCCGCCACAGGCAAGATGCCCCTGTTCGCCTTCTGGAGGCATCATCTGACCATTACCTAGGCACAATGGGATGCCGAAAAGGATCGGCAACTCTGGAAAGTTATATCCAAGTCGTCAAAGACTAGTGATTTGAACTGTGAGTATCTACTTTGTGCATCTGGAGCCATAAACTAACATGGTATAGGGGTTGAGTTGTACGTATGTGCATCGTAATGGAAATGACAGCCTTGCTTACTTCGCTTTAGAGCGGACAAGTTTCAAGTTCCGCCTACCTTTCTTCTACAGCAAGCAGCATGGTTGTACGAAAGGCATCTTGACCATGTTCGAAACCAGATGAAGAAGGTCAGCATTACAAATGCTGTTCCGTCATCACCTACAGTCGGCAGCACCATGACTGCTGTGGGTGGTGTGGCCATGCGAAGAGGCGGTAGCGCCGGGTCTGGGGGTATGATCTGTTCTTACGATAGTGTCCGTAACTAACCATGAGTAGCTGGAAGGACACCACCTGCCTTGGCTGGGCGTTCGAGAGAAAGCCCTAGTTTGCGTAACGCAGAAGTGGCGACGACTCCCGGTGAGCATATCCGATGACGGACTGCAGGTGATCTTAAGAGATAAGTCTTCTAACAAAATTAGCTCCTTCTCTTTCGAGGACACCCTCTACGACTACAATCACTCAGTCTCGAGCACATGCTCAGGCGCCTGCTCGAACACTATCTACTCGGTCTACCCAGCGTCCCAACCTAACAAGCCGAAAGTCAGAGGAAAGGACTCAAGCCTCAAACTTTCCTCACCCAAGTTACAGAAATGATGAGGATGTCTCACCTGAGATCCCAGAATCATCATCTTCAAGCTCATCCTCTTTGTCGGATGCGGACCATCCAGTTCACCGCAGTCAGTTGTTTAAGAGACCTCCTCGTTTCCAACAGAAGCGCCCACGAGATCTTGCTACATTTGATGAGGGCGATGGTGCGCAGGAGTTTGATGAGTCTGGTTCTCATGAGACGAGTTTGCCCTTTGCATCTGCAGCAAGAACGCAACCAAGTAGCAGCAAATTTGCACAGGACGCACAGTTTCGCGGTAGTACCAAAGCAGAGCAAAAGGCTGTACTTCCCCATCGCTCTAGGACCGACCCACCATCCAGACAAAAGTCAATTGATGTACAGTCCCTTACCACTGAGACAGCGTCGTCAATGACCAGCTCAGGCGGGCCTCCATCGGCAGCGAAGAGTCCTATGAGTCCACCTCTAGGCCATCGTGCAGCGTTAGGTCGGCTTGGTAGCCCGAGGAGTGGTGGGCCACGATCTAGAAAAGAAGGCAGTGAAGGCACTCCTAGTATGGGAAGTAGCTTCAGTGATATTGATGGTGAGTTCCCAATTAAACCGTATATTAACACTAACTAACATCGAGCAGATGCTGGAATTAGCCAGTCGGCTCTCGAGGAAGCGCTGCTGAGCAACATGCAACATGGGCGAATGAGCACATTGAGTCGCATGTCGAAGTGGTAGGCAACGACGTATTAGGGATCGGAAAGTCTTGGCGGTCGAAACGGAGTTTGATTCATACAAAGAATACCATCACCCCTCACTGTATTGTTTGTAATCCAGTTTCACCTTTTTAACAATCGTCATAGCCATCTAGCCTTGGCGTCAACTCACCACCTCGCATCGACCGCTTTCTAAACAGCACGTTCCTACAGATACTGTTTGTCACACTAACTCAACTGACTACCACAGCCATAATGGAGCGAGGACCATTGCTGCCAAGAATCATCATCTCAGACTACACAATTACGCCCCCAATAGCAACATCATACCACGCGATCAAAGCTTTTCATCCAGAGAAAGAAGACACCATATTCTTTGGCCAAACTTACAAGCTCATAAAATCACTCCTCACTTACCCTCGTTGTCCGCACCGCCGCGGCACTTCCACTTGGCCCTGTCAACCTTGCGAAACAACCTTCACACGCGCATACTGGACCTGTGCCGGCCTGCTCCTGGACTACTATGCAGACTTTTATGCCTACGATAGCGCGCTCATGCAAGCTGTATGGTTCCACCTTTTTGACATATGGCAGGAAAGCGCAGCATGGATTATCGACAGCCTGATATTAGATGTCAGAGCAGACCGACGAACAAGCAAAGCAGATAGAGCCCGATGCGCAGCAAAAGCTCGAGAATTCGTCAAACACGTCAAAGACACAGTCGAGCTCGTCGAAGTCGTCCTCTGGGGCCGCAAACAAAGCACCAACACCGCCGCTGCCGCGCACCCGACTCAAGAAACCATCCTTTACGACCCGCGAGGCGAGGTATGGCGTCCCAACGGCGAACACGACACCGGCCCATGGATCAGCGGCATAAAGCCCTGGTGCCAGTTCCTGTACAACGGCGGACCAGGCGTAGCGCCTCCTCCTCTCCCCCCAACGTTCGCTCCTCAGAAAACAGACGACAACAATAATAACACTGAAGGAAGAGTAACAACACGCTACGTCCCTCACTCCGCCATCGCAATCCTAACCGCACACACCCAGCGCGCCCGCGCCCTAGCTTCCACACTCTACACCTCTCCCATCCCCGAAGACACCGCTCTCTCCCGCCTCAAACAATTCGATGCATACGCCCCTGTCTTCCCCACCCCACGCCACCCCACACATACCTTCACGTCGCCGTTAACGGGCCACACGGTATCGTACGCGCTAGGCAACGGCGCGCCCCCCGTGCTGCGACATGTCGGGTTTGCAGATCCGGAGATGAGCGATGAGCGCGCCGACTGGATTCTACTGGATGACTGCGTGGCTATACTCAAGGAATTGGATCCGTATTTGGGAGTCAGTGCCGAGATGGGGGATGCAGGGGATGGGGAGGAAGAAGCGGCGTTTGATGTCTGGACTGTGGTTGAGGTACGAGAGAAAGAAAAGGGGGGAGAGGTGCTGGAGTTGGGGACAATGTTTGAGAAGTGGTGTGGGATTGGGGAGTGTGAAGTGGGTTCCAAGTCGTTCTAGGGAATGAGGGGGAGGGGGGGTGGCAAAGAGAAGTTATCTGGTAGTAAAATGAATATTTTGTCTTTTTCATTTCTCTTTTCTAGAGGAAAAAAAGAAAAAGAAAAATCTACGCCACTAGCTAAAATGCCTTTAAAACTGACCAAGCTACCTACAATAACCAAAACACCACGCAAATACACAATGATAATAATAAGAATAACGTGTTTTACAAGCGAGCGGGCCATACAAGCGAGCGGGCCACCCCACCAACTTTGCGCACCTCTCTAACTCTGATCAACTATGGCCCTATCAAATCAAGCCCACAACGTCTCTCATGAATCTGATATACAGCT